AATCATAGTGACCCAGGTGGCTTGAGAAAAAAATCCTGCTGCCTGCTGGACCCGACTGCTCCCGACCGCTCCCGAAGGACTAACAACACTAAATGAGCGACTTGACAGTTACCGGTAAAATGGAAACAGATGGGCTGGCTCATATCTGTTGATATTCAGCTGACATCTGTGAAATCACTCTTGAAAGGTCCCGTCCGAAAAAAAACGCATGGACGGAGCCAGCCATGATGGAACAGCAGGCTCCGCCCATTTTTTTCATGCCATGACAGCCCACTGTTTACAAGTCATTTGAGGACAGTGGGCTGTCATGGCATGAAAACAAATGGGCGTGGCCAGCCGTGACGAGGGCATGTGACCTGGTATGGTATTTTTTTCTCCATTTTTGGTGATGGGGTTCCACCTTAAAATTCCTACCAGACCTAAAGGACCTGGTATGGCTTTTGAGGGGAACCTCACACGTTTTTTGAAATTATTTTTAACGTGAGAGTCCCTCCTAACATTCCTACCAAGCCTAAAGGGTCTGGCATGGTTTGGGAGGGGGGCCCCACTCTGTTTTTCTTTTTTTTCTTATATTTACATTTTGCAGGAAGAACCTTTCTCCCCACTTCAGCTGTGTCTTCGGCTCAGCCAAGCCAAAGTATATGTGTTCGGCTCAGCTGAGTGCTTTGGCTGCTGTATGGGCTAGTGTGAGTATCGTAAATAGCCCATACAGCAGCCCCTCGGTCCGGCTGAACTGAGGGCTTCCCGCATCTCTAACAAGCCAAAGCATTAGCCAAAGGTTCAGCTTAATTCTTCAGCTCCTAACTGAATAACATCCTTAGCTGCAGATAATATTTTAGCTTGTCTGCACACCCAACATTTGAGGGAAGGAAACATATAAAATCAGTTGATTACTCATGCCTTCTGTCTACATGTCAAATGATCCAAATTCCTTCCTCAAGTAATGCTCGGCCTTGCATAGTCCTGCATTTGCTAGTGCCACTTCTAGTGCCCCATGAGTCTGATAAACCCACCCCTGAAACACAGAAAAAAGTAAACATTTAAATAAAGATAAGGAGCAGGTGGGTAACCAAGTCTTACATTTGTTTAGCCTGTTCCAAGCTGCAGTTTTCTAACCTAAAGAATACTTAATACCTTTCACATTCCAGACACAGTGAGGCATAAAAAATTGGGTTAGACTGTGCCAGAGAGTACAGTGCAGTGAGTGGTTCTCTTTAAGAGTTGTTGTTATACAGGCTTTCAAGTTCCACAGGTAACAAAAATGTTACAATAAACACTTATTTGCTGCATACCATTGTTTTTTATTATCATAGTTTGTTAAAGAAAAATACTATGATCCTCTCGAAGAGGTTTAACATTTTAGCTTTAAGCCCTTCCCACCTGCAATATCTAGATACACATAATTATCGTCCTCCTTTTGACAGCTACCAGCTCACACTTTTCATGGCTGCTAGCTGTCAAACCTGGTTGTTGCTGACAGTTCTCACTAACAATCACAACCAACCAGGGTAGTTCCCAATCACTGTCAGCTATGACAGTGATTGACATGCAAGCTGAACGCTTCATTCAGAAAAAAATATTTCAGCTTCAATGCCACTGTAGACTGTAGACATCAGTTTTCCTCTGTTTAATACTGTGATTGTTTGTTACACTTGTGGTATAAAGTAAAATTAATTAAAAATTTTAGAAAAGTATACATTTGTTTCACTTTTCACTCTATAATAAAAAAGCAGAGTTTAATTAAAGTAGTGTGACAAAAAAAGCCTTTTATGTCTTTAAAATGTTTAAATATTTTGGGTGGCAAATTATAGTGTTATAGTAAACTGACATTAACTGACCTAGGCATATAGGCTTTTATGACCTCTGGGCATGAAAGGGTTCAATTTAAGGTATACTGTTTCAAAGCATTATGTATTTAAATTGGAAATGTTAATAATGAGTGCATTATTTTTACCCCAGCTGTCCCTCTTAGGAGTCAGGGGACCTAATTATCATTATTGCCATACAGATATTTGTATTTATACCCCCACTCTTAAATACAGAGTAACTGAATGCAGACAACACTGCAATTATAACCTTCATCCGGCTGAGCTGGGACCTCTGCTTCTTGGATGGTGCAGTAGGGCTAAAGTTTGAAAAAATAAAGACATTCAGAAGAAGTAAGTAAAAAAAATAACAATTTATTAATAAAATAATGTTATCTCCCTGGTAGAATAATACTGGTTCCATACAGCCCAATTTTTAATTATGCAACTAACAGGGTTATTCACAAAAGGGTGAAGAGTTTGAAGACAGGGAACAATCTAGGACAACATCACTGATTTGGATTCACCAACTCAGCTCACTTTCCAGTTCAGCTATGTTGTCCTAGATTGTTCACTTCTCCTGCCTTCTCCAAACTCTTCACCTTTTTGTGAATAACCCTGTAAATATTTTATAACTTCCTGGAGTTCAGGTTTTTTTTTCTAACACTTGTAATTTTATTATTATTATTTAAACAAAATATAATATCATGTATATCAATATAATATCTAAAGCAAGTAAGATGTTTATGATTTCTCCCTTTTCAGATCCTAGAACTCGGGTATGCAGATGTGTTTAAATAAAACCTTTACTGACTATTTTATCATTAAAGGAATTTCTGATGTTCTAGAAATACAAATTACAATCTTCATTTTAGTTTTGTTGGTTTATCTCATCACTCTTGGTGGTAACATGACTATCCTTCTGCTGATCTGCTTGGACTCTCATCTCCACACACCCATGTACTTCTTTTTAGCTAACTTGTCCATTGTAGATATGTCTTGCATTGCCACAGCATTACATAAGATCCCGACAAGCTTTGTTACTGGGGATAAAACTATTTCGTTTCTTGGTTGTATGGCGCAGACTTTCATGGCTGGATCTTTATCAGTACATGAACTATTTATACTGACAGCAATGAGTTATGATCGTTATGTAGCCGTCTGTAACCCTTTAAATTACCATTTGATTATGAACCATAGGAATTGTGCTCTCTTGGCTTCTCTCTGTTGGGCATTGGGTTTCCTTCTGGTTTCCCCACTTGCGGGGATATTGTCTAGTTTCTGTTGCTACTCATCAATTGAAATCAATCACTTTCTCTGTGACATTGTCCCTATAATGAAAATAACCTGCAGTGACACCTCAGTGTTGGATATATTGTTTTTCTTTGAAGGTTTATTCCTTTTTATTATTGCCCCATTTCTTCTGACCTTTGTTTCCTATGTCTTTATAATAGCAGCCATACTGAAGATCCGTTCAAACACTGGAAGACGTAAAGCCTTCTACACGTGTTCCTCGCACCTTACAGCGGTTATCCTTCTCTATACGATTCTTGTTAGTCAATACCTGACACCGAGTTCAACAAGTACACTGGATTCAAAAAAACTGTATGCGTTGTTTAATACAGCTGCCATCCCTCTGCTAAACCCACTGATCTATAGCTTAAAAAATAAAGATGTGAAAGCATGTTTAAGGAGAAGGTTGAATTTAGGTGAAGTGATCACTTGATTTTTTTAAATGTTGTATTTATTTTTTAGTACCATTCTATGAACCCCGTATAGGTTGGCATTACACTTCACGTTGAGAATTTGACCTTGATCAAATACAGGGGAAAAAGACAAAGCCATTCCCTCCTCTGAATTTTTGTTGTAATCTAAATTAAAAAGATGTCTCCACTAAATATTGGACTATATGCATGATGTGTTCTTTGTCCACTTGTATCAACTAAGTGCAAAGCAATTCCAAATAACACGTTTACAGGGGGCAGGTACAAGACCACTCACCCTTGTCCAGGGTGACTGGTCTTTTATCTGCCCCCTACTGTAGTTTTCTGCAGGCAGCCTGTATTGGGTGAAGCCTTCTGCCCCCCTCCTATAGCTCTGCTCTACGCACAGGCTATGTACAGTACAGTGATGATAGTCACCACTCCTATTAAATTTAATATCTGGCTTTTCAAAGGCATTTTATGCACTCAAAATGGATTTTATATCTTTGTGGCTGTTGAGAAATATATATTTAAATGGAAGTTTTGGTGGCTGGCTTTAATAAATACATTTCAACCATTTCTTTTAACAATCTTTAGAAATGTTAATTTACAGTATGTTCCGTTATGACAGCTAGGTATGTGCAGGGCTGCTTGCTCCTAGCTTTGAGACTGCATTGACAGATTCAAAAAGTTTACTAATGACAGAGAACCAGTGTGCAAAACACTGAAAGCATTGCACTGTTCCTCCACAGCAGGGGGAAACCAAGTGATCAGCGGCTGGAGCTCGTCCTCACTCCCATATTAACTGCCGTCAAAACAATAAAACATCTGATCACACTCCGTGTCACTTAAAACTTCTGGGCTTCTAAGTACTCTATGAATAAGGCCAGAATTTGGTGAAATGTGTTAAAGGGGCAGACCTGAGGCAGAACTTTGTGTAACTGTATGATCTAATAAAAAGACATTTCCAGCAACACATGGAATGTGTACAGATGTTTTATTGTTTAGACAGCAGAGAACAAGTGTGGTTCCTGATCATGAGTACAGTGTAATAAAAACAAACAATTTAAGTAGTAGTTCATCCTTGTTAACAAATAACATCCATCTACTACATGTACCTATATAACTCTAAGCACCAACTTTGGATTCTAACCATGCTCCCATCATCCTCCAATCAAGCTTACAAAGTGCCTGCTTTCAGACGCATTGGGCAATTCATGGTGCCACTCCCTATCTTGAAATCCACATACTGGGTTTGGCAATGTGTTCAGAGGAAGCATGTTCACTTCATCAGAACAGACCAGAGACTTGTAATGAACAGTTTATTGACTGGTACATGTGCATACCGCTGGATACCCTTTTGGTAGGAACTCAAAGTTACCGTGATAAAAGCTGGCATGGGTGCTCATGGACTTGGCAGTGCATGTCTGTTTTTGTTAGTGGACATTCATTTTAGGAAGAGCCAAGTTTCGGGGAGTTTAATTCTGAATACTGCCAGAGATACATCAATCAATATATTGAATGTCTGGGTATGTTTATTCCATTGCTCTGAATATCTTAATGTTTGTTATTTATTTTGGTAAATGTAGTAGTTTTTTTCAACGTTACGTAACTTGCCAAAGCTGACTGTTTCCTGGGGTTGAATTATATTTTTGCCGTCTTGCTGTTTAAAGAACATGCTTCGGAACATATTCTATGGGACAGGACTTAAGACGTGATTAGAAGTGAAGAAAGTGAAGGCTCACAGGAAGAGGTTTAAAAAAATAAGTAGTTGTCGTGAATGTATAACCTAAAAATTATTGCCTGGTAACTGTGATGTCCCTGTTGACTATTGCTCTCAGGGTGTAACTTAATGTGTAAGAATTCAGACAGCAGTGGTGGCATTGCATTTGACCTCCAGTATGAGTGAAGGACCTCATGGAATCACCACTGCATCCTCCACTCAGAACTAACATCCAATGCAATGCACCAACAGTATGCCCTCAGTCTTGCAGGTTGAATGATACTGTGCATCCCTCTGATGGCAGAGAATAGATGTAAAGAGGAGGTATCTATTGCAACCCAAGCTGTTTTTTTTCTCCTTTTATACTGTAAGCTGTTGAAAAACTAAAAAAAATAACCCAGAATTGGACTTTTATGACAAGATGTGTTCCTGGTACAATGTCATGTCTTCAGCTGTATATTTTCTAAGTTGTGTGTCTTTGTACTTTGCCAACATATATCTGTGGAGAACCATCACAAGTTAAAAAATACATATTAGCCACATACACACAATACACATACTAATATACACACTTCTCTTGAAAAGAAAGCAAAACAAATGCTAATGCTAGCCATTGACAGTTTCTCTCATAGAAGTACGACGAGCAGGAAGATTTGGTTTATGTAATAATCTGATATTGTCAATCTGTGTCAATCACCGACATTTTAGCAATCACATTGTATAACAATTGAGTTAAGAGTTAATGAAAACTAACAGGGTGTAGAGTTTGGAGAAGGCAAGAGAAGTGAACAATCTAGGACAACATAGCTGATTTGGAAACATTCTCCAAATCAGCTCACTTTCCAGTTCAGCTATGTTGTCCTAGAGTGAGCTGATTTGGAGAATGTTTCCAAATCAGCTATGTTGTCCTAGATTGTTCCCTTCTCCTGCCTTCTCCAAACTCTTCACCCTTTAGTGAATAACCCTGTAAGTTAATAGGACTAAAACTGTGATGAAAATACATTGCAATTTTCATTGACGAATGGGAGGGACCATTTGCATTTACAGTGCGTATTTGGAGTTTCGGTTCCCTCTGAGCTCCTCCAGATCTCCAGTCCCCTGACTCTTCTGGCAGCTGGACTGGCTGAGACGCAGGCTCCACTTGTCTCCCTGCTGCCTGGATCAATGCCCTGCAAACAACAGAGAATACTCCTCCATTGGTTACTAAAGACGTTTTATATCACAACAGCTAAATTTGTGTCTGTATTGCATGTTCAAACCTTAATATCATTAATAGTCACAAAAGACTAAGAATAAAACTAAATTGAAATTTGCCATCAGAATTAACACTGTAATATACAGCAGTGTCTTCCTAAAGTCAAAAACAGCTAAATTTTCTCTCGTCAGCTCATAGGTGGAACAAGAGAAAATCAATAGATTTCCCCCATCCACAGTGTGAATGGAAGAATCTTCATTCACACTGTGGATGGAGGAAACTATAGCACCCTCAGCTAGACATGCAATTTTTGCCCCTGGATTGAATTTTGCCCTATCAGCAGAAAATTTGAGCTGTGTATGGCTAGCTCAACCATGATTCGCTCCTTGGACATTCACAGCACCATCCCCCATGATCCAGTGGTCCTTCCAGAGCTGACACATCAGAGTAAGAAATGTTGTCTCTTAGTTTATGACTGTATTTAACAAGAGCATTAAAGGAGAACTATGGGGTTAAGGCCTTTCCCCATAGTTCTCCTTAGGGTAATGGGAGGACACAAACTAGCATCCTCCCGTCACCCTAAGCTCAGTATACCGTGAGCTACAGCTCACGGTATACTGAGACGCCGCAGTATACCGCAAGCAGCTGCTCGCGGTATACTAAGGCGCCGCAGCTGAAGCGGATCCCGACAATTATGTCTAAATCCGCCCAGCTGCGTGAGTGACAGCTGGCTCAGCCTATCTAGAGGCAGAGCCAGCTGTACCCGCCCCCTCCCCCGTCCATTCTGCCAGTCAGCGCAGGCGGATCGGAGCGGGAGAGGGGAATCCAGCCCCTCCCCCTGTCACGGCAGAGAGCCGTGACAGGATCGAGAGGTGAGCGAATGCCGGTATGTGTTTGCTCACCTCCCGATCTACTAAGCCGACCTGTGACAGTCTCATTGTCACAGGTCGGCTAGAACTATGAGGTGAGTGAAAAGCACTCACCTCATAGTTCTCCTTTAATGTAATTAATTTCAAGTAATAGTTTAATGCAATATGAGAATGCTGTGTTTTGCTTTCCTTCTGTGGGTTGCAATTATAAACCGTGTGTAGAATGACTGGCAGGTGCTGTTTCACCACATTGCCCAGGTTGCCTTACAAGGACTGCGGCAAAAGTGTGCAGTGTAAAGAGGCATAGGTTCTATTTAACCAACCCCAATTTTAACCATTCGTACTGCTGGCCATGCCCACCACTTGTTCCTTTCCCCATAGCAATGCCCCTGGACTTGCTGCCCAACGATGTTGTCCCACTGCAATGTTGCACCCAGCAACAATGTGTGCCCCCCCCCCACGGGCTACTTCCACCATAAATGACAGATACCTGGCTGGCTGCAGTATGTCAGCACACTGACCGGCAATTCTGGGTGACAATATTGACCAAATATAGAGAAATCATATTTTGTCAATGACGTCACTCAGTATTCCTGGCCGGATGGTTCATAAATACCTGCCAGCTTGGGATCTGGGATTTAACCATGGTTGTGCTACCACTGCTTAATGACAAATCCCCTGTTCCGGCTGTTTGTAAACCAAATGTCACTTTTAAAGGACTACATCGTACTGCTTCCTAACTTGATTTACCACTTGAAGGCATCCCCAAAGGATGTTATTTGAAGGATTTGTGTATTTTAATGTTGTCCTTAAAGCTGCATTAAAAGACCCTCTACACTCTAAACAATAGTTTAAAAAATTGCATTGGTTCCCATAGCAAAGCCCAGTTACCTAACCTCCTATTGAATAGACATGTGCACAGCAAAATTTGCTTCCTGCCGAAACAAATTAAAACAAAAAACATTTCCATTTGTTTCATCAAAGAAAATAAATGTTTCTGCTGTTTCAGATTCGGAGGCAACAAGCCTCCGAAACCGCAGACTGAATATGCAGAATGAGCGTCGGCCATGTCGGCCGCCGGCGCATTCTGTGCTTGCACACTGCCATCTTTGAGTGTATCTTGGTATACACCAGGATGGCAGCGCCCATATGTTTGGGTCCTGCCATCTTGTTGTATACCAAGATATACCAATATGCCCACTGCATGTTCTGCAAACGAATTTATGTATGCCCGAA